ACTACTTTTCTTTTGCCTTTTTCAAGCTTCATTATTTTTGTATAAAAGTAGCTCTTTATTTAAAATAAATCTAAATTTCAGACTTTCTACAAAAATTATAAAAATTCGACAAACTTTTCAGCCCAGTTCCAAGCATTTTAATTTTAATTTGTATAATAATTTTTGGTATGCAGCTTTATAGTTTATTAAGTTCTAATATAATGAAGTGCAAGTTTTAAGTTTCTAAAAAATCGCGTTGCTTTTTGATAATTTCTGATGGTATCACACATTTCTTCAATACAAAACACTTTTTTGTTTGGAAAAGGGTGCATTTTTAAGCAACTTAGAACTTGCACTTCGTTATACTAGAATTTAATAAGCTATAAAACTGCATACCAAAAATTCTTCTACCAATTAAAATTAAAATGCTTGGAATTGGGACGGAAAGTTTGTGGAATTTTAATAATTTTTGTACAAAGTCTGAGTATGTATTTGTTAGATGAAGAGGTATACTTTTATACAAAAATAATGAAACTCAAAAAAATCAAAAAAAAAAGCAGTAAAAACTGGTAAAAGTAGTGATGTCATTGGTCGCGGGGTGTATGAAAGTTTTTCGTAACACTTTTATGAAATTTTAATTTCAGTGCATGGATTGTAAAAATAACCAAACCATTTCCATCTGAAGATATCTTCAATTTCAAATAGTAAGTAAGTAACTAGCTAAACATATTAAATAAAATCCTAGCTAAATTTATTAAATTATATCCTAACATCTTGATGGTAAAACCACCGGGTTCTCGTGTTAGAAATAAAATAAATAAATAAAACAACCACAAATGGGAATGAGCTTAAATCAATTAAAGTAGTATATATGTTGATTTTTATCTGCTATATCTGAAATTGCTATTATTTGTTCAAAATAATCTATACAAAGTTAATTTGGCACAATGGTGAAAATTCCTCGAAAACTATGCAACAACAACCACAAATGGGAATTAACTAAAATCAATGAAAGTAATATATTAGATCTATACACACACACGTGCCCAATACTTACAGTTTGTTTATATATTCGGTTTCAGAACGAATTCCAGCGGAAGTAGTGTGACCTCGCCCAGTACCTTAGGATCGGCAACCATGGCTAATCCGTACGCAATGACTTCACTTTATCATAGCCCTGGGGTCCAAGGTTATTGCGGCCCAGCAGATAATCTCTCTCTGGCTGGACACTATTCAGATATGAGAGGTTCAGCCACTTGGTATGGATCTACAACTAATGACCCCAGATTTGCAAGTAAGTCAGGTAGTTTTAATTATTTTATAGGTATAATAGCAGATAAGTGCTCAGGTTAGCATGCAAAAATGTACTTGTAAGCTGAAATAATTTTAGACAAAGGGAAACTTCTTTTCAATCCGATTCAAAAGTAAAATTGTTTGAAACTCACTTATATTCAATTCCGGAGCTGTATATGTAACTGTGAAATCATTTACAATTTTACATCATGAAATATTTACATGCAAGGTTTCATTATTTTTCCTTTTGTTGGATAGTGGGGCTTATATTTTTATACCCGAGCGCACTTGTGCACAGGTTATTATAACTTTGATCACATAACGGTTGTTTGTAACAGACAAAACGAATCGAGATAGATATAGACAAATGTATACATAAATGATCAGGAGGAAAAGAGAAATAGATTAAGCGGTGACTGTCTGTCCGTCCGTCTGTCCGTCCGTCTGTGCACACGATAACTCGAGTAAAAATTAAGATATCTTAACGAAACTTGGTACGTGTACTTGCTTGGGCGTAGGACAGATGGTACTGAAAATGGCCAAAATCGGACAATAACCACGCCTACCTCCCATATAACCGTAATTTTCAGAAATACGAAAACTGCGATATTTTAGTAACTACTTGAGATTACTCACTCAAAATTAGTATTTGCAATAGTTTTAAGACGCAAAATAAGAATGTTATAAGTTTTTGAAAAAGTGGGCGTAGCCACGCCCACTTATGGTTACATGTGTATATCTTAGTAACCGCTGCACCAATTTCTTCCAAACTTGGCACGGTTGTTGGCCTTGCTACAGCATACCAAATGGCCGAAAATTTTTAAAATCGGACAATAACCACGCCCACATTCCATATAAGGGTAATTTAGAGAAATACGAAATCAGTAAATATTAAAGCTGATTTATTCAAAATTAGCCCTTGCAACAATTCCTTACCATGAAGTACGGTTTATGATAAAATTTCTGACAAAATGGGCGTGGCTCCGCCCATTTATGATCGCATACATATATGTATCTCGGTAACCGTTCTACCAATTTTTACCGAACTCGCTATTGTTATTGTGCTTGCCACATAAAAGCAAAACGTTCAAAATTATTGAAATGACTAAAATTACAGCTTTTCATATAACGGTTAATTTTAGAAATGCTTGAAACTTCAATATTTCGAAATTTAAGGACGCTAATTTACACAAAATTGATACACCCCGGCTTACCATCTAGCGGTAGGTTTCGGAAAGGTTAAAAAACATATATTTAATACTTGTGCCGGGTATTTAATGTTCGGCTCCGCCCGAACTTAGACTTTTTTACTTGTTTCAATCTACAATCATTAAAAAAACTGATTACACACAGCAAGGTGGTGACTACATGAATGGAATGAAAAATAAAGAATGCTAAAGTAAATGATATACCATTCTGAATGAGCGTCCAGATGACTGAAACACTCTGCTATGTGCAGTGTTGCCGCGATGCATTTTTAGTGGTAGCCAAATTCCTTTAAAAAAAGGGCTAAAAAAAGTCGTTGTGGCTAAAAATGGTAGGTAAAATTGTTTACTTACATAATCATATATACACACCAAAAACCTTTTCGTAAAAAAGGGGAAATATACGACACCAGCTTGCTGGATCGATCAAGTGATTGTACCATCAGGCTCGAAGCATATAACCAGGGAACGGATTTTTAGGACCTAAAAACCTATAAAAAAGGCAAAATAAAATAACGAAATAGGCTGGAAAAGGCAAAATAAAATAGCGAAAAAGGCAGGAAAAGGCACTAGGTATTGCAAAAAAGGCAAAATAAGGCACTAAAAAAAGACAGAAAATACGAAGAACAATCAAAAAATACATTTATTTTAGAAATGTTTATATTACAAGTAAAAAGAGAAAAACTATGAAGTAGTTTCATTATATGAAAAATTTGTACTTTGAATCTTTGACTATTTTATCCTTTCGAGTTTCTAACTCATAAAATTTTAATCTGTATAGTTGTAGTAACATAGCATTTTGAAGTTTTCTGGCAGCATTTTCATTCGATTTTCGCGAAGAAGAGCCTTGAATGTACTAAATGTGCGCTCGACGTAAGTTGATACAAGTGGAGCCCAATTTAAATATGGAACGTTTGAAACGTTCATGTTATCAGGAATAAGGGCGTTTTCCTCGCCTTTTACAAATTTATCTACACCCCTTATTGTCTCCAAGCCTACGTTAGCTGAGAAAACGGCTTTGAATTTTTCCAACACCAATTTGGCTAGAGGTCCCTGCGCTCCTATAAGCCGCATGGGCATGTGCATATTTTTTAATCTAAAAAAAAAATTGTAAATGCTACAATCACTTTTTTAAAGGTAGAAAACGCAAAAAAGGCAAATATCTTAAATAAGGCAAAAAAGGGCAAATATCTTAAAAAAGGCAAGAAAAGGCATCAAATGTGTATATATGGAATCAGGGAAAGCTAAATCGTGGACATTCTTAATCGAATATACTCTATCTCTTTAGCAGAAAAAAGGCAATTTCCATAAATTCCGTTCCCTTCATATAACTTACCAGCATGCTGGTACAATATTTATTTCCTTACAAATGAGGTCGAGGAAAGATCGAAATGATTTGAGCCGAAATTTCATAATTTTTCTACCATTTTGTTAAACATTGTTTTTTTTTTTTAATTCAGAACTGCAATATCGTGAACTTAATATTCCACAAATACGGCTTTGAAATTTCCGCCAAAATATATTTTACTTTGAAAATTTAGCTAATTTCACCACTCACGACACCAGCACGCTGTTACAATCATAAAATTTTCAAATAGTTTTTGAAGTCGCACCAGCAGCTGGTACAATCACACCACAAGAACATACACGGTCAATCGACCTGATGGGCCATTTAACTAATGAAGCATATTAGGGGCCAGTGCACGGCCGTGGTTCAAACTAAGTGTAAACGCCCGATCTGGCTGGTTTAAACTAAGATCAGCCATTCAAGTGTCAGCCAGATGTTCAATTCAAACCCAGTTTACTTAATCTGAGTTTAAACAGGCCCTAAGGGCGGTAAAGTTATCTATTTTAAACTATAGTTAAATCGTTAATAGATAAGTTAAAAAACAGCCCTAACACTTATACAGTATGTATGTATAAAAACGTAAGGAATATACAATACATATACTATGTCAGTCTTTCTTAGTTTTAAAATTCATCTCTTACATATGTATATGCGAAAAAAATACATCAAATTAAGCATATACAACTTTTTCATGCCCAGTATGAATAAATTCTCCAAAGGGCTAAAAAAAGGGCTAGGGGCAATTTTAAATTTATGTGGCCAAAAAAAGAATGTGGTTGCTAAATCTAGCCGCCAAAGGGCTAAAACGGCAACACTGGCTATGTGTGCATTCCCTAATTCTGCTCCAATCAAACTGTATACACTCACAAAAATATATACCTAAGTTTAGATATGAGAGATGATAGACTAATGAGGTGTATGAGCTTAACACACGCGTATCATTGTACAGCGGCTGCGCGAGCAAAGCCGTGTCATACGAATGATTTACATGAACATATTGTATTTATTTTCCATTATTCAATCCATAATTTATACAAATGCATAATTTTACCTCAACTCATAAAGGCCCTAACCAACACTTTTTTCGAAACTGCGTTTTTCACAGATTTTGACAGGATGTGGTATGTATTATGCATTTTTTTATGTATGTATGTTACCTCATAACTTTGGACCAGGTTAACCGATTTCCACGATTTTTTTAAAGGAAAGGTGGTACCTCGGAGGTGGCCCCATATTAATTTAATTTGGATCCGATCATGGGATACGATAATCTTAAATTTGTATATGAGAATTCAAGTCGGTGTTGTTTAATTTATTTGCTTAAAATTTAATTGTTATAATGTTTTTTCTTCTTGTGTAAAATAAAACAGTTAAGGCTTTTGTGAATTAAGGTAACGATATTATGCGCATTTTTTGAATATCTTCCCTTTTTGGCGCGGCCACTCTTAACGATATTTTCATTTTACCAATACCAGTAGTGCTATTCTCTAAATTTTCTACACATTATCGATTGCGTTTACGACAAGTGTATTCTGCACTATATCGTAGCGATAAGCTTACATCTTTTTCCGACGATTTTCGATATAGAATTAAAAATGTACTGAGAATGAATTCAAATATGTACTTTTCCACTTATTATCAACAGTTGCTCTAGCCGAATGGATGCGTGTTCGACTGCCAACTTGCAGGTCATGGGTTCAAACCCTGTGACACGGACCATTTTTTTTGCTTTTTTTATACCCGAGCGCACTTGTGTACAAGGGTGCAGTTACCAGACGTACTGATTTTATCAGTACACTACTGGTTTTTCAACTCTTGTACTGATTTGTACCGAATTTTCAATTCAAACAAAATACTTTAGGATTTTCTGAAGGTTTTTATATAACGTTGGAACTTCCTTAAACTGTACTGTAAAAAGTAAAAATAAAACAAGTAAGAAAGTCTAAGTTCGGGCGGAGCCGAACATTAAATACCCGGCGCAAATATTAAGTATACGTTTTTCACCTTTCCGAAAGCTACCGCTACATGGTAAGCCGGGGTGTATCAATTTTGAGTAAATTAGCGTCCTTAAATCTCGAAATATTGAAGTTTCAAGCATTTCTAAAATTAACCGTTATATGAAAAGCTGTAATTTTAGTCCGATTTCTATAGTTTTGAAAGTTTTGCTTTTATGTGGCAAGGACAATAACCATACCGAGTTTGGTACAAATTGGTAGAACGGTTACCGAGATACATATATGTATGTGATTATAAGTGGTCGGTGCCACGCCCAGTGGTAAGGAATTGTTGCAAGCGTCAATTTTGAATAAATCAGCTTTAATATTTACTGATTTATCGAAGATTTCGTATTTCTCTAAATTACCCTTATATGGAATGTGGGCGTGGTTATTGTCCGATTTTAAAAATTTTCGGCCATTTGGTATGCAAGGCCAACAACCGTGCCAATTG